GTTCCCTCGCCCAGAGGGGAGATTTTCGCTGGGGTGTCTAACACCTTCAAAATGGGAGCGTTTAAGTTTACCATGTTTTAATGGGGGCACTCAACACGTCTAAACGGAGAGTTTTCCACACTTTAAATATTATTTTTAAATAAAAAAATATTTTAAACAAGCACTGTTATGTAAAAGTACCATTACATGTTTTAAAAATACCGTATCCCAGAGGATCCCAGATTAGCTTTGCAACTAATTTACATGCAGTACATCATTATTAAAATGGTAAGCTAATTAGGCCTATTTCAAGGATGGCATTTACTCTCCCCACCCACACACTCCTGCAGTTAATTTAAATTACTTTCTAAACAAAACAAATCTTTTGTGTCAATGGAAATAAGAACATGTCCGTTTTTTTTACCTTCGAGTTTCAGAGATAACAATCCCAAATACAAAGGGTGTGTGTGTGTGTGTGTGTGTGTGTGACTTTGGAGTATGTAATGGGGGGAGGGGTCAGTGACTGGTGAAATGGGGGTGGGGTCAGTGACCTTTGACTGAAGTTAATTCCGTAATGTGTCGCAGAAACTGGTGTAACTGACCCTTGTAGACGTGGTCAATGTTGTTGGCTGGACAAGACTGTGTTGATGTCGTCAATAAAGTTTGGATTGTCAAAATGTGGACGTGGTCAATGTAGTTTGGACAGTCAATATTTAGATCTGGTCAGTGTAGATTGTTTGGACAGTCAACATGTAAATGTGGTCAATGTAGTTTGGACAGTCAATATTTAGATGTGGTCAATGTAGTTTGGGCAGTCAACATTTAAATGTGGTCAATGTAGTTTGGACAGTCAACATTTAGATGTGGTCAGTGTAGATTGTTTGGACAGTCAACATTTAGATGTGGTCAATGTTGTTGGCTGGACAAGACTGTGTTGATGTTGTCAATAAAGTTTGGATTGTGAAGATGTGGACTTGGTCAATGTAGTTCGGACAGTCAACATTTAGATGTGGTCAATGTAGTTTGGACAGTCAACATGTAAATGTGGTCAATGTAGTTTGGACAGTCAACATGTTAATTTGGTCAAATAGTTTGGACAGTCAATATTTAGATGTGGTCAATGTAGTTTGGGCAGTCAACATTTAAATGTGGTCAATGTAGTTTGGACAGTCAACATTTAGATGTGGTCAATGTTTTCGTTTAGGGACATGACTGACTTGCGGTTAAAAATAACATGTTATTCATTATTTCAATTAATAACGATTTACAACATCCCCCCCCCCCCTCGCACTCCCCATTTTCCTAATTAGCACAACTGTTTTTAACACAATATTAGCTTTTATTTATGATTAAATTTTTTTTAAAAAGCCTCAATTAAACTTTGTTTTATTCAATAGTAAGCCGTATGAAGATTGGATGTAAAATTCCCTTTTGTCGCTACGCACTAATGAATCACCCTTTAGTTTATTTTTGTTACTGTTTGACTAATCTTTTCATACCACTTAGGGTTGAAACAGCGCAATGTGAATTTTATTTATTCAGGAGTGCAAAATTCTTTTTGTCAAACAACTCTAAGGCACTCTATCAACATCTCTTAGCAGGTGCCACGGAAAATTGAAATATGTATGGTTGTTTGTCAGTCACTCATTTCTGCTAGGGGCGGGGCGTAGCTGACGTCACAGGCAGTCCGCGCGAACTGAGGCAGCGCGAGCGCGGTGCATAGCAAGACAGGCCTAACGGTAACGGAAATGGCCACGGCTAGTTAAGTTACCTGTGATATTTGAAAACACAGGTAAAACACATACATATCTAGGATTTATACAACACTGTTCAAACTAAATATCTGAGTAAGTACTTATACTTATTTGAGTTTTTATCTCTAGATCTCGTGATAGAGTTGTTCAATGCTTAACTCGTCTCATCTGGCAACTAGACTCTGTTTTTATCAAGTTGTGTCAGTCCAGTAGCAGTAGTGGTGCCGAAGAACGTTGCGTTTGTGTCGTGTACCGTAACCAAAACTTCGTTCCCCTGTTTAACATCTCACGCTCGGGGCGAAGATTTCGGATAATATTCTAAAATGGATTTTACTTTACAGGCCACAGGTTTAGTCAGCAAAGTTTAGTGATAAACGTCTAATTCGGCTTTTGTTATTAAACTTATTTTACATCGCTATATTTCGCTATATTCCGCTATAAACAATGATCACGTGATTGTTGTAAGACTGTAAGTTGTAACAAAAAATCAGTGACTGCTGTCATTGCTGTGTCGTCTAATTACCTAATTAATTATATTTTAATAACGATTAGATCTAGAATCTAGAACTAAATAATAGATCTATTCTAGGTTCTAAGTCTAGATCTAGATCTGTCTAGATATCTGATATGTAAAAGTAAAATAATTATTCTAATCTATGTTGTTACGTTGTAACAGTTGTTTCACTTCTCTCAAACTTGTCTTTAACACTTAAAAGTTAAAAGGCCTAAAGCCTAAAGTTTAGGGACAAGTTTTAGATTATCTTTTCAGACTTTTCATCTAGTTAAGTAGATCTAGATCTAGATCTAGAGATATAAATCTAGATACTCTATGTCTATAGTGCTAGAGTTTATTCTCTCTATTCTAGATATAATATAGAATCTAGATCACTAGATCTAGATTAGATTCTAGATTCTAAATACTAAAGTCAATAGTCTATTATTAATAATTAAATTATTATTATAATTATACTATAACTATCTTCTCACTGGATATGTTTTTAAGTTTTTTTTGTATAGTCAGGGAAATTCTATTATTTAGGCTAATGTATTATTATATCATTATTGTCCTCTTAATTAAGAATTAAGATTAGGCCTATATTATATATTTTATAAGTTTAGATCTTTTCATTTTATTATAAAATATAGATTATAATCTATGACATAGGCCTGCCTATAGCTAATTAATTACCAACTCTCTAGATTCTAGATCTAGATCTAATAAAGATTTATAAATCATAGGTAGGCTAATATAATATTGTTATTTAGCCCAAATTAAATATATTAGTAACATTTTTGCTTATTAAAAGATATACTGAACAGTTGAACAGTTATTATTAGTTTTATTAGAACCTAATGAAACTTGAAAGAGCTATCCTCTTCAAAAATAATTAAGACACAATATAGTAGATCTATATTTATAAAAACATAACTAAATCCAAGTTAACAAAAGTTTAGGAATATAGTAAATATAAATACAAAAATAGGGGTAAATAGTTTACATCTATGATTATGTTTTTGTCATAAACCATAGAAAACTGTTGTCAAAATAATTGGTTACTTAAGATTTTCATCTTCACCGTACCTAACTACATTTTTTGTGTGTCTGTAATTTCAGTTTTCATGACATCAAAGCAACAAACACAATTTAAAAGAACTTTCCAGAACATTAAAAAATGTTAGATCGACTCTGCATGAAGAACAAAACAAGCAATGCAAAGTATTTTTACCAACAGTGTTCATAATATGAGAATCTAAAGAAGTCAGATGGCTCTTAAAGTTTATGGCCACAAAGGTCTCATCAGAGCCATCAATCTGAGTCATGTGACCTGCGTTATTTTGATACATTTTTTGGCTGTGTTCGCCCAAGGCCAGGGCCCAGGAAATGTAGAGTTTAAGGTGGTAGAAGAGTCCCCTGTCGGCACTTTGGTTGGGGTTGTGAGCTCTCTACCCAACTACAGCTACACATTCCAAGAAAGCTCTACCCTGTTTGAGATTAGTGCTTCTGGTACCATAAGAACTCTAAAAGTTATTGACAGGGAATCCTTAGGAAACCCAGTCATTCGTTTAACAGTTATTGGACGGCCCAGCAACTCTAAAGACCCCCAGCTGACCATCATTGTTTCAGTTGTTGTCCTGGATATCAACGATAATGCCCCAGTCTTTAGCACAGATGGTGCAGCCAGTGTTACCATCACTTTTCAGGAAGATGCCAAAGAAGGTAGGAAAAGTATAGTGACAGCAACAGACCCTGACGAGGGAATCAACGGAACTATCAAGTACAGCATAGTGAGTGGGAATGATCTGGGCATGTTCGACCTTGACCGGTCAGGTTTACCTTTAATTTTGTACGTGTCAAAAATTGGTGACCAGAGTTTTGACAGGGAAACCATTGACCACTACCAGCTGAACGTGTCAGCACAGGACGGAGGCTCCCCACCGCGGTCTGGCTACCTGCTGGTGGATGTTGTCATCCTTGATGTCAATGACAACACCCCAACGTTTCACCAGAGCCAGTACAGGGTCCAGGTCAATGAGAGCGCACCTATTGGAACTCTGGTGTTCATCGCAGAGGCCACAGACAACGACCTGGGCTTGAACAAGGAGATATCCTACCACATAGACGACTCCTCCCATCAGTTTAAGATTGATGAGAACACGGGGGAGATCCGAACTGTCTCCAGTCCTCTGGCCTGCAGTCTGAGGTGTAGCAGGTCAACTGAACCATGCAATCCCAACAGCTGTTTTATTACTGTGGAAGCCACAGACAAGGGTTTGAACCCTCTAACTGGACGTGCTTACCTTTATATTGAGGTGCTAGATGAAAATGACCATGACCCTGTGATTCATTTTTCTACCAGTAGTTCTGAGAATGACATCAACATAGCCAATGTTGATGAGAACGCCAACATCAGTACCCAGGTGTTCACAGTGAGCGTCTCTGATGCTGATAATGGCATCAATGGGGAGACCTCCCTCTCTATAGTCAAGGGCAATGAAGGAGGATACTTCAGCTATTTTACCATTGCTGACTTCAACATCATCATGGTCCAGGTGGCTAAACAGTTGGACAGGGAAACCATTGGTATGTTTAACCTGACGTTTAAAGCTGTGGATAAAGGCACCCCTCCCAGAAGCACCACTGCTTATATTCTGATCATGGTTAATGATGCCAATGATCACAGCCCTGAGTTTGAGCACACATCGTACAGGGTCAGTGTTAGTGAGTTTGCTAAAGTGAACTCATTTGTGGCCAGTCTCAGGGCAACAGACCTAGATGAGGGGGACAATGCCAGGCTCACCTATGATATTGCCTCAGGGAATGAACCTCTTCATTGGTTTAAGATGGATTCAGAGACGGGTCTTGTCACCACACAAGCTGCCATTGATCATGAAGAGGCTGCTCAGGTCATCCTCAACATATCTGCCCATGACAGTGGCTCTGAGCCCAGGTACAGCTATGCCATCTTGACCATAGACATCCAAGATGAGAATGACTACATTCCAAAGTTTTCTCAGTCGTCTTACATCCAGGAGCTTGCTGAAAATATGGCTCCCAACACTGAGATAGTCACCCTTAAAGTGATAGACCTAGACAGTGGCATCAATGGGACGGTAGATTTCTCCATACACCCTGACACAGAGATGCTGTACCCTGGCTGCTTCTCTGTACAGTCATCTGGCAAGGTGCTGGCCCTCAAACAGTTTGACAGAGAAGAAAGAGACAAATACCTGGTTAAAGTTGTGGCCACAGATGAAGGTCCGAACCACCTATCTTCCACAGCTACCATTGAGTTGAGAATCAGAGACCTGAATGACAACCGGCCAAAGTTTTCTCCCAGAGAATATTATGCCAATATCTACATGAATGACCCTTCAGACCTGCAGGTCATCCGGGTGTTTGCTACTGATAAAGACATTGGGGACTTTGGCAAGGTGACATATTCTATGACTGACACATACAACAGTTTCAAAATCAATGGAGATACTGGGATGATATCCACCTCTAAGCAGATACAGAGTCAACTGACATACAGATTAACTGTGTCTGCCAGAGATGGCGGAGGGTCACCCTCAGAAACAGATGCCACTGTCAATGTCATCGTCATCAACATGTCCAGCCAGGCTCCAGAGTTCCAAAATTTGCCCAACATATTTGAGATTGTGGAAGACAATGGAGAGATGAGCCCTCAGATTGGCAGACAGGTTGGTGCTGTTGAAGCCACATCCCCAGCAGGCAGGCCTATAACCTATGCCATAGCCAGTGGAGACCAAGATGGGGTGTTTAAAATCAACTCATCCTCTGGGGTCATCCGCACCCAACTGGCGCTGGACAGGGAAGATAGATCAGAATACAACCTGACTGTGATGGCGTTTGATGGGGAAAGGATTAGCTCTAGGAAAGTTACTGTTATTGTTACAGATGTCAATGATAACCCACCTGTGTTTACAGCCAACACAACAGAAGCTGAGATACTGGAGAACTGGCCAGTTGGTCAAAACATCTTCTATGCCCAGGCCATTGATAGAGATGCAGGCAGCAACAGAGAGATCAGCTTTGTCCTGGTGTCAGAGAGTGATGTCAATAAAGTATTTGCCATCAACGCCAGCACCGGGGTCATTTACCTGACCAAACCTACCACTTTTATCTCTGGTAGTTCTCTCACTCTCAAGGTGACAGCAACTGATGCAGGTACACCAAGAAAATCCAGCTCCATGAATGTCAAGGTGACCGTCAAAGATGTGAATGACCACACACCACTGTTCACAGAAAACAGATATGAGCTGTTTGTGTCGGAGGCCCAGACAGTGAACAATGTGGTCAAACTCCTCTCAGCTAAAGACAGCGACAAGGGCAAAAATGCTGAGCTTAGCTTCAACATCATCAGGGGCAATGATGACAAGCGCTTTGGGATTTTCCCTGACGGCTCTTTTTATTTAGCTCATGTATTGGACAGGGAGAAGAAGGACATGTACTCACTGACTGTAGAAGTGAAGGATAATGGACAGGAGCCACGCAGCTCTGCCGTAAATATTACCATCTATGTTGTCGATGAGAACGACAATGAACCTGTGTTCAGCAAAAATGTTTACGAGTTTTTCATAGTAGAAAACAAGGAGGCCAACACATATGTTGGTACAGTCAAGGCTGATGACTTGGACGTTGGACGCAATGCTGATCTGCTGTACTCTCTTGGAGAAGGGAATGACAACTTTACCATAGATCCCTTTCTGGGGACCATCTTCTCTTCCAAAGTGTTTGACAGGGAGTACATCTTCAAGACCACCAGTGTGTCCTACTACATGTTTTCAGTGTATGCCACTGATAATGGCCTGGTCAAGCTGCAGAGTAAAGCCTATGTCAAGGTCATTGTCAAGGATGAGAACGACAACCCACCTGTGTTCTTGCAGTCACCAGACACCACCATAGATGTGTCTGAGAACACCAACGTCAATGATGTGTTTTTCACACTGGTGGCGAATGACGCTGATGAAGGAATAAACGCTGCCCTGTCTTACAACATCATCGGTGGAAACAGTGATGGCAAGTTTGGCATCAACGCTGGCTCTGGTAAGCTGTATCTGAAGGACAGCTTGGACAGGGAAACCAAAGACCAGTACAGGCTGACGGTGAAAGCTACAGACTCCGGGGCCAGTGTCCAGCTCCAGGCTAATATCACACTGAACATTCATGTGCTGGACTATAATGACAACCCACCTCAGTTCGCCCCAGACACCCCCAGCTCTGTCAGTGTCAGTGAAAACACAAACGTTGGCGAGACATTGGTCATGTTCTCTGGCAGTGACAGGGACATAGGCATTAGTGCCACCCTGCGCTTTGACATTGTCTCTGGAAATGGTGACGATGTCTTCTCTCTTGGGGTTTCCTCTGGAAAACTCACACTGTCCAAGCTCTTGGATTATGAAGCAAGTAACCATGGTGATCACTCCCTAAACATCTCTCTCTCTGATGCAGGCTTCCCTTCACTGTCTGTAGCCAGAATGTTCACAGTTAAAGTTGAGGATGCTAACGATAATTCACCAATCTTTTTAGATGGCATCTCCCAGCTTTACTTCAATGAGACCACCCCAGTAAACACCAGCATAGCCCAGGTGTCAGCTGTTGATAAAGATTCTGGGGATTTTGGAACTGTCAGATACAGACTGTTCAAACAAACCCCTGCTGGAAATTATTTCATCATCCACCCTGTCACTGGCGAGTTAACCTTAAACCGGGCTCTAACCGGGCTAATCACTAGCACTAACATGGTTAGGCTGGTTATTTATGCCACTGACCAGGACAAGAATGTAGCCAATCGCAGAACTGCAGAAAAGAACCTGTCCATTGTAGTGAGAGATGCCAATGATAACGCCCCAGTGTTCCAGTCAGCTGCCTTCTTTCTTGTACCCTACAACACCCCTGCCGGTAGTACCGTGGCCACAGTACTAGCCACAGACCTGGACCAAGGGGACAACGCCAGAGTGACCTACTCATTCAGTGGTCAGAGAACGACCTTGTTTAGCATCAACCCAACCACCGGCGCCATCACCCTGAACAGCGCCCTCCAGCAGACCACGTCCGGCACCACGCTCTCGGTCACTGCCACAGATGGCGGCGTTACAGATCTCCTGGGCGCCAAGAGCACGTCCGTGTCTGTTACCTTCTTGTATGTCATCAGCGGCACCGGTCCCGTGTTTGCGCCCACCAGCCCCAACTCGGGGCGGGTGAGAGAAAACCAGGCCGGCACCCCAATCCTGAGGGTGGACTGCTCCCCCTCTGTGGCTGGCCGCACGGTGGAGTACTACATCACACGAGTGGTGGCCTCAGGCAGGGACCAAGGTGGATTATTTGCCATCAGCAAGTCCTCGGGAGACCTCTCCACTCTAGCAGCCATAGACAGAGAGGCACTGGCTGGGGATACCTTGATATTGGATATAACAGCAATAGAAGTCGGTGGAAGCTATGAACAAAAGGCCACAACCACCCAGGTAAGACATTTTTTAATTAGGGGACTATCTTTTTTTTACGCCGTTTTAATTAACATTTTTTTTTTAAGTACACATTTCTGACGTAAATATACCAGAGGTGTGTAAGTGTAAGCCTATTTAACAATCAGGATTAGCTAAAAATATTCATAACAGTACCTGCTTCATTGTCTTATCTAAAATTAACTTAAATCTAGTAGCCCCTTTCCCCCCCCCCCCCCCCCCCCCCCACCACACACACAACATCGCCTGTCCTTTGACTGGATATTTCATTAAACCTATCTGAAAGCGCCTGTGATGATCCATAACGCCCCTATTGGATTTTTTTTTTTATAATGAAAACCCATTGGACTGGTAATGAAAACCTCGGCCCTAGTAAAGCCAGGTAAAAGCCCATACAAGGCCGGCCTAGCTGATAAGTTTTAAAGCTCCTTTCTTCCCGAGAGGTCCCGTGTCTTACCGGCGGTATTTCTTGGAGACACAATCCCGCATTCTCCGGGGCTAGCGTGAACACATCAAAGCCCGGCGAGTTTTATCTGTTTGATCGTGCTGAAGTTTCTGGTGAATGGCCTGTCTTTACATGGGAGGTTCGGCTCTATAGTCCCTCCTCACGCTCCAGCAATCCCAGCACAGCATTCTTCCCCTGGGATTGTAGACTTATTGTATGTCTATTATAAGGCTGGTACAGGCCGAATGGGGACGGGATCATTAAGTGTGTGTCATACAGCACGGCCGGTAGGCCCTGGGAGGGGCCGCTTGAGTAGGGCCTATTACTCAAACTATTTGTTTTGTCACAATTGTCAAAGGTCCCTTTTTAAAATGACATTGGGTTACAGATGCATGAATAAAACTTTGATTATAAAACAACAACACGACAGTTGGAGCATTTAAAAAAAAAAGATCCATACATCTAGTAGTAGTAGTAGAATCAAATTCAGTAAGTAAAAAACAACACGTCATTGCCTTTTGATGCATTAAGCGAAGTCTTGTTTGTAACTCTAAGAATGTGTTAAGAAAGCTTATTGCTCCACTATTAGAATTTCCATGACAACGTCCCCACCACGATGGACGATGTTAAAACGTCGTGAGGATAAAAAAAGCTGTCCCCCACCGACTAACGCGGATGTCTGTAGTCGCGCAACTCTCGGTCTATTATCATTTCCCCGTGTATAGAGCCAGTATCGAGGCCAGACCTCATATCAGCGCAGGTAGACGTATTGACGATCTTTCAAATCACCGAATCATTGTGCTGTTGGAGTATTTATAAGTCTGTCGTGTGTGTGAGAGAGTAGGGGGGATTACAGCCGCTGGTGAAAACGTGATGTTTGCCGCAGCACGCTGGTTAGCGGTCTATGGCTTTTTAAAAGATTAGTCTTCTTGCATTTTATACTGCTCGGGGATACACTCGGTTTATACAAAAATTAGGGGGGGGGGAGTATATGAAGATTTTTTTTAGTTGACGCGGTTTATAGAATTCAATATTAGGTCTAGTTTGTGTATCGAGGAAGATGGGGTGATGGATATACAAATAATAAATAAAAGGTTTATTTTCAAAGCATTTTGGGATGATCTTTTATGTATATTTAACATTTAATCATCTCTTTAAGTTAGAACAAAGCACTCCTGTGATTAAAGAGGTTTTTCAAGTTTTTAATCAAGCGCCAGATAATATTTTTACAGAGCTATTCTAGTTTTAAACCCATCTACTGTGAGTTCAATTATTTTGTTGTTTAAAAGTTGGGTCTAGTTTAAACCAAGTATTGCGAGTTTTAAATCACCCCTACTAAAGTTAAAAAGATTCTTTAAATCAAATATTGTGTGTTAAAGCACCCCTACTGTAGGTTAAAAAGATGCTTAAACCAAGTATTGCGAGTTTTAAAGCACCCCTACTATAAGAAGATGTTTAAACCAAGTATTGCGAGTTAAATCACCCTACTATAAGAAGATGTTTAAACCAAGTATTGCGAGTTTTAAAGCACCCCTACTATAAGAAGATGTTTAAACCAAGTATTGCGAGTTAAATCACCCTACTATAAGAAGATGTTTAAACCAAGTATTGCGAGTTTTAAAGCACCCTACTATAAGAAGATGTTTAAACCAAGTATTGCGAGTTTTAAAGCACCCTACTATAAGAAGATGTTTAAACCAAGTATTGCGAGTTTTAAAGCACCCTACTATAAAAAGATGTTTAAACCAGAGTTGTGAAGACGTTAGCACCGACGTGAGAGCTGCTGACAAGTAGCCTAGGCTCCCCACCCAATCAATTTTCTCTGCCAGACTTACATCTGTGTTTATCAGCAATCATTCTTTCTGCTGCTGCTTTCAATTCGCGACTTACACGCGAGGAATTCGCTCTCGTACAACCGTTGATGGACAGGTTACCACCTCCACAGGGAATACGGCAGTTTTTTTTTTTCTTCATCCGTTTTTTGTGTGGCCAGATTGGCGCGCTCTTGCCCAAGTTATTGAAACCTAACATTTAAAAAATATTTTTTTAACGTTTTTTTTTTTGGTTGGGTGGGGTGTGGGGATATACGTTTAGTATTTCCGGTTCCTAATTTAGTGTCTACTCATTAACCACTTGTGACCTATCTGGTTATCTCGGCAGCTTGTAGAATTTATGAGGCGGTAACGAGGCTATGATAACCACAAGAGCTGTATGAAGTGGCCCAGTGTATGTACCCACTTTTCTTGGTTACTACAACAGGAAGAGAGGGTGGCTGGCGGGTTAAGACCCAGTCTATGTTGTGCTGTAGTTACCTTTTCTCACCTGATTGTCCAGGGGGCGGATGACGTTGAATATTTTTCTGACCTGTCACATAAAGGGATTGTGTGGTCAGCTTCATACCGAGCCCAGTCGCCGTTACTTGTACTAACGATGAAAAGTACCCATCATCGCTGGGCGTCTTCTGACTTTGGGTTAGCAAAGGCGCTTTTTGTCGCTCAGCCACTCCGTCCCATTAAACAAATCGTATAAACAATTTTAAAAAATTATACCACTTTAAAACAAAGATTTCAGTAGTACACTTTAAACCCGTTAACATTATCAAATGTTGGAAAAAGTTCGGACTGAATGACCAGTCTGGCCTTTGACCACTAGAGTGTCAAATGTTAGCGCTACCATTTACTGCTGAGCTAGCAGCCATGTGAGCCGTGAGCCATGACTCCCGTGAGCCATGACTCCCGTGAACCGCCAGCCCCACAGCTACCTCCACAGTCTTTAAAATGCCAGGGTCGAAATACTTTTTTTTCCTTTTGTGCTAAGCGTTCCCTGTGGTAAAGAGGGTGTGGGTGGCGTCATTGCCCCACCTGACAGAGATTAGAAGGTCGTTAATATCCGCGTGAGGCAGCCGGCTTGTAACACTGGGGTAGTGAGGTGTGGACCAATAAAATTTGGGGAGAAGGTTTAGGTCAGCGGGGGAGATGTGGTGCTATGTGGGCCGGGTGGAGGTTGATGGCTGGGGTGGGTGTTGGCTGATGTGTGGGCTGGGTGGATGCTGGCTGATGTGTGGGCTGGGTGGATGCTGGCTGATGTGTGGGCTGGGTGGATATAGGTTGATGTGTGGGCTGGGTGGGTGCTGGCTGATGTGTGGGCTGGGTGGATATAGGTTGATGTGTGGGCTGGGTGGGTGCTGGCTGATGTGTGGGCTGGGTGGATATAGGTTGATGTGTGGGCTGGGTGGATATAGGTTGATGTGTGGGCTGGGTGGATGCTGGCTGATGTGTGGGCTGGGTGGATGCTGGCTGATGTGTGGGCTGGGTGGATATAGGCTGATGTGTGGGCTGGGTGGGTGCTGGCTGATGTGTGGGCTGGGTGGATATAGGTTGATGTGTGGGCTGGGTGGGTGCTGGCTGATGTGTGGGCTGGGTGGATATAGGTTGATGTGTGGGCTGGGTGGATATAGGTTGATGTGTGGGCTGGGTGGGTGTTGGCTGATGTGTGGGCTGGGTGGATATAGGTTGATGTGTGGGCTGGGTGGATGCTGGCTGATGTGTGGGCTGGGTGGGTGTTGGCTGATGTGTGGGCTGGGTGGATATAGGTTGATGTGTGGGCTGGGGTGGGTGCTGGCTGATGTGTGGGCTGGGTGGATGCTGGCTGATGTGTGGGCTGGGTGGATGCTGGCTGATGTGTGGGCTGGGGTGGATGCTGGCTGATGTGTGGGCTGGGGTGGGTGTTGGCTGATGTGTGGGCTGGGTGGATATAGGCTGATGTGTGGGCTGGGTGGATATAGGTTGATGTGTGGGCTGGGTGGGTGCTGGCTGATGTGTGGGCTGGGTGGATATAGGTTGATGTGTGGGCTGGGTGGATGCTGGCTGATGTGTGGGCTGGGTGGGTGCTGGCTGATGTGTGGGCTGGGTGGATATAGGCTGATGTGTGGGCTGGGTGGATATAGGATGATGTGTGGGCTGGGTGGGTGCTGGCTGATGTGTGGGCTGGGGTGGATGCTGGCTGATGTGTGGGCTGGGTGGGTGCTGGCTGATGTGTGGGCTGGGTGGATATAGGTTGATGTGTAGGCTGGGTGGGTGCTGGCTGATGTGTGGGCTGGGTGGATATAGGCTGATGTGTGGGCTGGGTGGATATAGGTTGATGTGTGGGCTGGGTGGGTGCTGGCTGATGTGTGGGCTGGGTGGATATAGGCTGATGTGTGGGCTGGGTGGGTGCTGGCTGATGTGTGGGCTGGGTGGATATAGGTTGATGTGTGGGCTGGGTGGATATAGGTTGATGTGTGGGCTGGGTGGGTGCTGGCTGATGTGTGGGCTGGGTGGATATAGGCTGATGTGTGGGCTGGGTGGATATAGGTTGATGTGTGGGCTGGGTGGGTGCTGGCTGATGTGTGGGCTGGGTGGATATAGGTTGATGTGTGGGCTGGGTGGGTGCTGGCTGATGTGTGGGCTGGGTGGATATAGGATGATGTGTGGGCTGGGTGGGTGCTGGCTGATGTGTGGGCTGGGTGGGTGCTGGCTGATGTGTGGGCTGGGTGGATATAGGTTGATGTGTGGGC